ATATATATATGAGCCACTTTGTTGGACTCAGTGTTTGTGTACATTATGATTAATGCTGTAACTCCATCCTGTCACCACTTGCCTCAGGCTAGAAGTGAACTTCTAACCTTTTTTATCACAAAAAACAGAAACTGTTAAGGTTAAACATATCACTAATAAAAAAACAACAACAACATCTCACTGATTAAATTCAGCCTCTCTGTGTAGTTTTGATATTTATTCTGTTGGCTGCTGATGTAAAACTTCGTTATTTGTGTTGTGCATCTGTCCCCTTTAGTTTCAGAATATGAGGAGCCGTTTTGTTGCCCATAACTTCCATTTCTCTTTCATCTCCGCTGGAAGTTCAATCGAGCTCCTTTCCTCTCGCAGAGCACTAAGCCTCAGATGAAACTGCTGCAGTCGGTTTTTGGACGCTGAACTTTCCATCACAGAACTTCTGGGAGAAGTCAAGAGAGGGGAAACAATGGGAAGGAGGCCAGAGTAGTTGGAACCGCTGACCTGTTTTTGATTGATAACAAAGTGTAATAATGGCTAATTAGGTGCAATAATTTAGGCCAATAAAGATGGGTGACAGATTGAGGATGATGTGTGCTGCGTCAGGGGACCTTGCTCCGAGGACGGAGCGGAGACAATGCATTCAGCCACGAGGACGGATACCTTTTGACCCTGGATCAGTGAATCATTTTGTAATTATTTAGGAGGAGGGATGGAGGGAGCATTAAATAAGAAAGAACCGGGCGGAGGAAGGAAAGTGGAAACTTTTATAGAGGTGAATGTGGTTGAAACATAACAGAGCCTTGAGTCCAGTCAGTGGAAATGTGTCGTTCAGGCCTGGTGCCAGAATCTTCATTTCCCTGAGAAGATCTTTTTTTTTATCGTCCGATGCTAACTCCTCATGGCACGCACCAGATGACAGTCATTTCATCTTGATAATAAAAAACACAGCCGTGAATCTGACCCTGATGAAGTCATATGCTTCCTACCTGCATTCAATCAATCACGTCTTAGAAATTAACTGTAACACACGGACTGTAGAGGACATAATATATAGAAAATACTTTTATCAGTCATACAAAATGAGTAAAAGAGTCCCTGTAATATTTTATAAACTTGTCAGCAAAAAAAAATAAAAAAAACTATGACCAACCTCAAGCTGTGACAGTACAGCTGGAAATGTTGCCAATAAACATCTTGGATCAAATCTAAATTATATCATACACAAAAAAAAAGTATAACTTTTTTTGTTTTGTTTTTCTTAGCTGTGAGCTAAAAGTCATTGGAATAATGCAGGATCAGAAGATAGTAATACAAACATTTGTCGTTAGTCCATTTCTATTGTGTTTTCTGGAAAATACTAAAGCAAAGAATTAGTGAGAAGGATCATTTCTCACCTGTGGACTCATATTTGTTTTCTTGTTTGTTCCATTTAAATACAAAATAACTCACAGCTTTTTTTCATTAAATCCGGTCCCCACATTTCTTGCTCTAAGAGCAAGAAATGTGGGGACCGGTCCTTTACTGTTGCTGGCCCAATAGCATGGAATAGTCTTCCCTTTGAGTTGCGTACCCTCTCTGACCTGGTCCTGTTCAAAGCCCAACTTAAGACCTACTTTTTCAAAAGGGCATTTGGTGTTTAATTTTTAGCATCTTATATATCTTTTTTTACTTTCTTTTACTGTAATTTGTGTTTTGTACTGATTTTATGGCTTGATTGTATTTACCTTGTGAAGCACTTTGGTCAATGCAAGGCATTGTTGAAAGGTGTTRTATAAATAAAGTTTATTATTATTAGTATTTAAATCACTAAATTGTGTTCACATACAGTATATTTAATATACCCCCTAAGAAAAACTTTGTGAATTTAAGATCATGGCTGCATTTCGCAAAAATCTTCTGCATGAGACGATAACGTTTCTGCAAAACACAAAACTTTTGACTTTGCTCAGGCGACATATTTTCCTCGAAATATAAGCTGTTTGATGTATTTTATTCAAAATACTTGGGCAAATTTATAACTTGTGCTTTATTTAGTGTTTCTTTTCTGGAAAAGTTGTTTTACAGTTTYACTCATAAAACTTTATGAAACTTTTTCTTTGTTTTGATGCTTTAAGGAGCACATTTTTGGGGGGGATTAGATGTTATCATTACATCTGTCTTCGATTTCTTGCTGTCTTTCTCTCTCTTAAGGGAGCTTGCTGCAGACATTTTCTTGTTTAGGTTTTCTCAGTGTGTAGACATCACTGTTCAATTTTTGCAAATTGCAAATTATTTAAATGTATCTTAACCTGTTTGGTCTCTGAGATTATCTCCCCTTAAAGCTAATACTGCAATGTGGTTTTCTGACTTGTTTTTGTGAGGATCAGTCAAGCTGTGAATCCAACAACTGTCTGTTGAAAGAAAAAAAAAAAGAACATATTTTTAATCTGATGTTCCAAATCTATTAAATAAAATACTGTGTGGAACAGAGAATATTATTTAAGGTTTGTGTGTGTNGTGTGTGTGTGTGTGTGTGTGTGTGTGTGTGTGTGTGTGTGTGTGTGTGTGTGTGTGAGCGGCAGATCAGATCAGATGAATTAAGCTGCTCATCATGATGATCGGCTCTTGCTGATCATTAAGAGAACTCGTGTAGAATTTGCCCCCCCTGGCCTCTGCGAAGGGGTGGATAATTACCTCTAATGTAGCATCAGCTATGCATGAGACTAACGTTACGTTTCTGAGGGCGGACGGTGAAACACCTCTGACATGAATGTTTAATTCATTCAGAATCATCCTGTGATTCATTTAAAACCCTAATTTTACATGACCATCTCTTTTCTTCCGGAGTTTATTCCCAATAAAGTTTAAGAACATTATTATTAGAGATGAAACTGATTTTTTTATGTGGATATATTATATTTTTGCAAGAGAAATCTGCCTTTATCAGTCAATGATCCAAACACAAAGTTTGAACAAACACGGACAACTTTTGCAAAGAACTTTTTTCACTTTCTTGTTTAACATGATAAACTAAAGCTTTATCGATGTTTAAGGTTGCTTTAATCAGCTTTTTTAATGGTGATGGAAAAAAATTTTAAAAATAGAAAWGTTGCCAGTGTTTTTGTTGGACAAGTGGATTCTGTTTTTCCCCAATTTTATTTTTCCATCAAAGTTTTACAGGAAACTGGATTATAAATCTCCTAATGCTGTTGCTTTTTTAAATTATTTCCTTGGTTTTTACATTTGGAGCGCACAGAAAGTTTTCCTTTTTTAACATCAAGAAGTTAGTGATTTAAAATCTCTTGTTTTTTTTTACATAACCAATTTGTTCTTATTTAGGATCAGATTACCTTAAAGACATTAATGGTTATATTTTTAAATAAAAGCAAAAAAACACATAATCAGTAACACCAATTTTGCACATTAAACACGCTTGCTGCAAAAGTGACCAATATCTATGATATTTCCCTTTATTTTAGCAAATAATTTTGTTTAAAATCAAATCCCCCTCCTTTATTTTTTTTTAACGTAGACTAATAAATGCTACGCGTAGCATGAAAATACATGAATATTATAGACCTGGTGTGATWTTCTGGTTCCAGAGACATCTTCCTCTGTGGTTGTGAAGACAGAGAGGATCATGGCTGCATTATTACACCTCTTATTGTGTCTTAATTAGTGGCGTTTAATTATGCACTAATGCAGTGAGGGCTATTAAAGACATTGAGACCTGCTGATCAGGACATTAGTGAACCTCACACACACACACACACACGCACACACACACACACACACATCTGCATGCACACTTTCCTCTCAAATCTCACTTCCCCTTAACTAGGAATTAAACACGCCCAGAGAAAGTGTGTGTTTTTAAAGAGAAAGAAAAACTGAAGAGAATATCTCTAAATAAAAGTCAGCAAGGGACTGTAAGGTTGGGGAAGACAAGAGTAATCACTTTTATGTGTGTTTTTCCTGTGAGCAAATGACACCCAAATGTGTTCTAATTTTTCACTCCCACGCATCTCCTCCACTGGTGCATCTCAATTATTTGTTCAGAGGCTGCTCGTGACAATGGTGTCGGCTGAGGGTGCCTTTGGGATGCTAAACAGAGGRGGCCAGGAGGTTAAATATAAGTCACTTTCACCTGAGGCTTTGTGCTGCGTGGAGAGGACGAAGCTTCAAAAGGTTCATTAAAAACCGAAGGCAACAAAAGGAGCAAACTTGATCCTGGTCGCCCTGTTTGCTTTTGAAGACGTGTGTGGCTGCAGTGCAGCGATGGCTCCTCGAATCAATCATCAACATCTCAGCTCACCTCTGCTCACACCTGCAGAGATGCTTTCATTTCATCCCAACACAAAGTTGCTTCTGCTGCTGCAGCTTCTTGTGTTAAAATTCACAAATTTAACATTCAGCTGTGTCCTGTTCATGTCTCAAATATATTCTAGAAAAAACAAGTGTTCAAAAAKATTTAAAATATTTCCTCTGTGAAATGACTTCTCTGGCATCTTATTCAGTAACAAGGTCATGCAGTTGCTTCTTTTTTTATTTTTTTTGTTTAATATTTACATTTTCAGCTAAAATTTAATTTAAACAAAAATATTTAATTAAACCCTGCATCATATTAAAATTGCTCATATAAAATAAAATAAAATGCTTTCTTAAATTATCCATTTGAAGCAACTTTCACTTGTATTCTTTCTTCTTGTTTTATAATAATACACATTCAAAAATATTTTTAAAAAGCTCTTTTTTTATTTTTACTGATTAAATTAGTCACTTCATGCCTCAGTTGTTTGCGCTCAAAAATAAATAAATACACTTTGGAAAAATTCCCGCATCTGAAGGAATTTATTCCCTGAGAAAATATGACCTTGGAAAAAAATATATCAGACCAAAAGATTCGGTTTCAAATTCTTTATAAATATCTGCAGATAAATAGCGTTATAATACAAGCAATGAACAGCTGAATAACACAGAAAAAAAGTGCAACAGGCCTAATTTATACTTTTAAAAAAGCACGAAGGCCTATTTGTCTTTATCAGACTTGTCATATGTTACAGGGAAACACAGCAAGATATCTAAACATGTGTTTGGCTGAAGTGAAACAGGTTGTCTCCTACAATAAAAGCTTTCTTTGGGTTTAGCGCGTCTTCTTCTCTGATTAGATTTAATAGAGAGCCACATGTGGTAAATGCCCTCACCAAGTGTGCAAAAAATAGTGACTCAATCAACAACAACAAAAATYCTTACAATGTTAAAAAAGTTTTTTACAAACCCTCTCACAGCGGCACTTAAACCGTGAAGTTTAAAACTCGTCTCAATCTTCCTTTTTCTAGAACCAGCCCGCAGTTTACCCGGTTAGGACAGCAGCAGAGCCGGGTGCAGCGGGTTCCCTTTCCCCTCCAGCAGGTCTCTCTTCTCCATCACCGATGCTGGGGAGCAGAGYTGGGCCGGAGCGCCCTGCAGCCCAGCCAAACCGGGAACCGGACCCAAGGACGGGGTGGGTTTTATGGGCACGGGAACGGCAGGCAGCGTCTGCCCGTTGGCGTTGTGGTAAAGGCCCTTGGCCGAGACGCTGAAGGGCGCGTACTCTGAGGATGCTGCGGGCACGGGCACGCCGCTCATGGACTCCGACAGCATCCCCACGTGCGGCCACATGGAGTTCACCACGCTGCTGAGCTGAGGGGGCACTGGGTAACCCAGGTGGTGCATGACGGAGGTGAGGGGAAGCCCGCTGGCCACCACACCCTTGTAGTCTCTCCCTATGATGTTCTCGATGGCGAACGGGTGTTTGAAGGCGCCGGGCTGCGCGCACGCGATGCCCCCGTAGCCTTGAAAGTGAGGGAGGCGACCCACGCCCGCCGGCGCGGCCGAGTGCTCGTGGTGGCCGGACGTGGCGCCCAGCTTGCTGCCGGGGTGGTGGTGGTGATGGTGGTGGTGGAAGTAGTGCATCATGGGGGAACTCTTGCAGGTCATGTGCTCAGCGCGCAGCACCTTGAAGCGCTTCCGTCTCCGGAGGAAGCTGCCGTTTTCAAACATGTCCCCGCAGTCCGGGTGCAGAGCCCAGAAGCTGCCTTTCCCGGGCTGGTCGGGCCGCCGCGGGATCTTGATGAAGCAGTCGTTGAAGGAGAGGTTGTGCCGCAGGGAGTTCTGCCACCTCTGGGTGTTCTCCCGATAATACGGGAACCGGTCCATGATGAACTTGTAGATGTCACTCAGAGGCAGCATCTTCTCGGCTGAGTTTTGGATTGCCATGGCTGTCAGTGAGATGTAGGAGTACGGAGGCTTCTGGTCGCTGTAGGAGTTTTTCCCAGGACGAGGCATGGTTGYGACTGGTTTCTGAAAGTTTATACAGGTAAATGAAGCAGCCTTTTACTCGGAGTCTGAGCGATACTTTCACGGCGCCAACTTGAGAATCTTCCCTTCAGTCTCCATCCGACTGATCCGTGCCAAAGTTCTGAGCCAACAAATTAATTTATGCCGATTTATAAAATGTAAACCAAAGGCCCACGGCGGGCAGGTCAGATCCTGGAGGAAGTCTTTCATCCAAATGAAGTTTCTTTGACTGTCTTTTTTGCCAAAGGACGCTCTTTAAAGCCGCGCGTAAAACTCAGCGTCTGTGCGTAAAAAACTTGAACTCCCTTTACTTCCTCAGCTCTGAAAGGATGACTCTGGCTCGTTTGCCTCGCTGTCTCTGTGTGATGTGGCTCCTCTTCCCGTGTGTGATGCTCCCAGTCGCCCGCGCGCTGTTTTTGTGAGACCCCCGTAGGTCGTCTGCACTGTTATCTATTATCCAGACAGGGGGACACGTCAGGAGAGAGCAGAGCGCTGTGCGCGTGTGTCTGTGTGTGTGTGTGTGTGTGTGTGTGTGTGCTGATAGTTGGGGGTACACACAGAGAAGAGATGGGGTAAAGAAAACGAGAGGAGGGGCGATCAATGCACACGTTTGTCTCTAATCTGCTGTCTGCCAATCAAAAAGTCCCGCGTAAAAGCGCACAGAGAGACAGAACAGAACTGTGGAAACATACCTAAACAGTGCGTCAAATGTGGACACTTGGATGTTTTTGACAAAATCTTGAACGCCAAAGAGCTCGGTCGATTCTTTGTATTATGACTCCTGACCTTTGACCTCTCTTACACTAATAAAAAGAAGTTTGAACTTCACAGTCTGCAAGCTGTAACTTTGTTAAGCAGCGAATAAAGGTTGAAATATGTCTCCCTCCTTCCACTTCTTAAACAAATAAATAAAAAAAAGAATGTAAAATATAAACACAGCCTCTTTGTTAAATTTGCTCGATTGCACTTTCAGACTTTCCCAGTCATAAATCATGTCTTCCTATCGCGCACGCGAACCAGCGCGCCGTCTCCTTCCGCTCTCATTCACATGAGCGCGTCCTGCGCACGAAAACTCACACCAGAGCGGRAGCCGCGCGGTTGTTGATTAATTGCTGAGAGGGGGAGTCCGGCGGCTGTCTGTCTGTTCAAACACTCTCTGGTGAATCCTACAAGGATGTAAACAAACTTCATCCCCCTCCCATCCCAGCCCCCTGATCCGAGTTATGCTCAGCCGAGAACAACAGAAGCTGCTGCTTTATTTATTTCATTGCTTTTTTTTTTTTTCTATTTTCCTCTCTGGCCAGGTGTCATGACTGGGTCCTTGACGGCTCCCGTCTTCCTCGGTGCCCCCGGTGGGCTTCCGAATACATTACAATAATTAAGCCTTTCGTGATTTAGCCTCCTTGGAGAGAAGTCCAACAATGTAATTAAGGGCGAGCTCGCATGGATAAGGTATGAATATTCAAAACTGTGTCAATTAATTAGTCCACGCGTCTCTCCTGTAACGTCCCGGTCCTTAAAGCCCACTCAGAAGGTCAGCTGTGTCAACTGAGAGCATATTTTATAAGACATCATAATTGCGAGGAAAATTATGTTTTTTTGTGTGTGCGCGCGCGCGCACCCCATCACAGAGAATAAGCATTTAAATAAAAACGCGTTGTTTTCTGATGTTTCATTTAATGCGCCAGGAGGGAAAAAAAAAAAGATTTCAAACTCCAAAGGCCCGCAGAGGCCAAACGGGTTAAAAAAAAAAAAAGAGGACCCCCTTAAAACGCGCGGGAAAGATCAATATTAAATCTGTTTCCACAAAGGGGGCCGTTAAGTAGACACCGTGGCTGATCTGCATAACAAAATTAATTAGGTAGTCCGCGGCTTCCTTTTGCGCAGCATCCAAACTCCTGGACAAATAACTAGTTGTAAAGCGCACCTTCTGGGCATACGGAACATATGTTGGAATTATCCTTAATTGACTAATTACATAAATTACTCATTAAGTTTACACCACATCAATTATAAAAGATGTATCAATTAATTTTGCATAAATTACCAGTGCTGCTGCTGCACGAAGAGCGCGATGGAGGGAATGAGGATCGCCAGGAGGGGGGGTCTCACCCAAAGGTGTGTGTGTGTGCGCGCCCGCGCGTGTGTGCGCTCGCGTGAGTGACGGTCGTCTGTTTGTTTCCAGTCTCTAATAATTATTTGCTCAGCTTAAGGGCAAAGATACTCTTCCTCTGTCTCGCAAAGGGAAAGTGTGGGGGTAATGGCAATTATACTAATAATAATAATCTTAAAGACCCTCTCTCCAACTCATGAGGGGCGCATCGTGGCGGAGAGAGCCATTAAAATCAATTAGCAGGGCCTATTGTTTTCAGTGGGAAATTAAGCTTAGGACCTGCAGTGCTGGGAAGCTGATTTGTGTGAATTATTTAGAAGTAAAATAAGACAGTTTTTATTTTGTGTTGAGTTTTTCACACAAACAACAGCGTTAACAGATCAAATCTGCCTGTTACCTAAAAGAATATCTCTTCGTCAACTCAGGCAAAATAATTCTTTCTACTTTTGTTTCAAACTTCCAAAAAAATAAAGCAAATGTAGATGAATTCTGTTATTTTTTTAAACAAATCTTAAAGTGTGTGTGTGTGTGTGTGTGTGTGTGTGTGTGTGTG